AATATTTTTCTGATAATTACCTTCTGCTTCATACAGGTATATGCTATATCTATTGTAACAGTTCTGTGTACCTGACCATCAGACCCACCTTTACAAGCTCATCTAGAAGTTACAATAGGAACATAACGTTTCCCAACCTTGCAACCCTGCAGTTCTCCTCTGGCATGATGCCAGTCTTTCCCTTGGGTTGGTTTTGCCCTGCCTATGTAACTGCCCCCTGTTTGCTACCCTGTTCATAGCAGCACCAAGCTCAGTGCCAAAGTAAGTGCCAAACCCAGACTGGTGAGAAAAAGAGAACTGTAGTTTAATACGTTTTTATTAGTACACGTTTCATTATGGATGCGATGAGATAGAAGAGTGTTCTAATTGGCCAGTACAATTACAATAATCTTGAAGGTACAAATAATTACAAATTAAACTTAATTAAAATGATGTTTGGTATTGTGTACCATCTGTGTCAATGTTTCCAATGTATTGCACAGCTGTAGTAAGCATATATTTTACACTTGTAGGCCAGGGGTTAATAGCGCACCTTTGTTTCTGGGACACACCTAGACAGGCCTCATGAGAAGGAGGAACCGGCCTGCAGCCCCCATCCCTTGGAAGTGAGCGACTCGACCTTGATCTGAGAATCCCCGAAGCTCTGCAGCGTGTCAGCAGGCCGATTTACAGGGCTCGTTCTGAAGGAGTGGCAAAATCTAGATAATGGCCCTGGATTGGGATTGCTCTGAGCCTGTCTGGTCATGCTGTGCTGTGGATGAAATATCTCGCTGTCTGGATGGAGCGATAAAAAGCATTCTGAGACGTGAAAGAAAATGCGGATATACCTGTTTGTTGTGCAAAATCTGGCGGTGCTTGTGTACGCTTGGATGGGAGGAGTGCTACCTCCAGAGTGATTTGACGGGACTTCGGGTCACAGCAGAAGAGAGGTTAAGCAGAGGTCCTGACTTACTGGGTCATTGTGGCGCCTGTGGCACAGTTTGTAAGAGGGAGGTTATCAGCTCAGTCTGGCCTCCCTGCCGTTCCCCCTTCACCCGGTGCAGCAGCTCCTCGCTCCCCCCCCGGGCTGCTGGCACAGAGCGGCTGCCGCGAGTCACTCAGGTTAGGTGTCACTTCAGCGGAAGACAGTCTGCACGTGAAGCATGTAGACCAACTATATGTGAAATGCTTTTTGGATCCTTTGGAGTAAAAAGCGCTATAGAAATCTAATAGCTCATTTTTCTTTTCATTAGTTGTGTTGGAGGAGAGTATTCCTACCTTCCTGGTAATTTAATGCCCATGTGTCTTATGTTTGTCAGGTGTGACTGCTGCTGCTTCCTCTATAATTTGTATCTGTCACAATTCCCTTAATCTATAACATTAGTCCAAATAAATCAAAGCATGATGTACACTGAGCTGAAAAAAACTGCATGGAGGCTAAAACCTCGTGTTACATACGAAAGAGGATGTGAACTTGCAAGAAGTCTTGATCTGAAACAAGGAACCTTTAATCCGTTGACGTCTCGTTGCGCTGGGCAGTTCCAGCCATTGGATTTTGTGAACTCTTTTAGAATCACTTCTGGCAGACAAGTCACTCTGCAGACAGCAGCAGCACAGAGCTCTGGAGCGGAAGGTGCAGATGGTGCCTGTTGGTTGAGTTACAAAGAGACTTAGACGTCGCTGGCACACATGATATGATAGGATATTAAAAAGCTGTATTTACGGTACAAGGAACTGAGTGAGCAAACAGTATTTTTTGCAGAAAAAGAGGCTGGTGTCTTATTCGTATTCCATATCTGGATTAAGGGGAGTTTCTTTAGTTTTGCTAACTGGTTTAAGAAATTTTACTTTAAATGTTCACATGAAGGACCGTGTATTTTAGTGTTTGCTGTGTTAGAGTTACAGGAAAGCAAATATATTTGCTTCCTTCTGGTTAGTGAGAAGAGGTGTGTGCTGCCTACTTGCAAGATGGGTTTAAGCACTATTCTGCAAAGGAGCTCCTCATTAATACAACGGGACACAAGGGAGTTCCTGCATGGTTCGGCCGGGGAAGGTTGAGCTTGCACTGTGCACTTCTGACATTGCTGGCCTGACTCTGGCTAGCCGGGCGCTGCTGGGGATGGCGAGTCCCGCCTCCTGGAGCTGGCCTGACCAGCGAGCTGTCTTGGGTGGAATGAGCACTGTGGCTCGGCCTGTGGGAAAGAGGGAATACACTCGTGTGTGAGCACTCTGGTTTTCTTCTCATGAAAAACATTCCTGTTCAGCATTTTCCCGATAGTTGAGGCATGAACACAGCCAGCTGCAGTGAGAGAGGCCTGCAGGTCCTTAAATGTTGCTCTGGGGTTCTTTGTAACTTCCTGGATGACTTTCATTTTTGCCTGTGGGAAGATCTTGGCAGGATGATCAGTCCTGGAGAGAGTCACCATGGTCTTTAGAATTTTCTTTTTGTAGACTAATCTGTCTGACGGTGGAGCCCCATATTTTTAGAAATGTTTTGTTATCCTTTGCAGGCTGATGAGCATCTGCTACTCTTTTCTCAGGTCCTCTGAAAACTGTCCTGATTGTAGCACAATGCATTTCCGTTAAGGCCATACTCACTAAACGTCTGACTGTTATATAGGACATAGCTGTACGAACTCAGCCTTGTTTACTTTTCACCAAATATATAACCACCTGATTTAAATGATCACTTTCATTGGGCTAAGTAATATTCTTATTTCACATATGCTGCTTCTTAATTATTCTTTTTTTTACATGATACACTGTTGCATCTAAAAAAAGTCTTAAATATAAACCCTTTTGGTTATTTAAGAAAAGAGTGGTTTTGATTAAGCAAATATATAATGTAAGAAATAATAAACTTTGTTATATCACGTCTTTAAAAGTAGCTTCTCAAAGCACTTTAGCACTTTACTGCAAGGAAAGCAAAAAAACAAATTTCATGCAACTAATTGTTATCAAGTATTGAACTTGAAAAGAAAAAAACTGAAATCAGATAAGAGTTTGTGCAATAAAAAACAAGGGTTTTGAGTGTGGTAGAAGATACAAAGGGGCAGATGTAGTAAACAATTAAGTAAAAGCCTATCTGAAGAAGAAATTATGTTCTGGACGATCATCTTACTCGGCACTATAAGATCTCAGAGGATCTTATGTAAGAATTGTGCAGGATGCTACTGAACATCCTACTGAAGTTCTGTGGGCTCTCATGTTAGAGTTCACAATGACCTGCAACCTGAGAAGGTCTTGTTTGGTTACTGCTGCAAGAAAGTACAGGCTTACAAGATAGCCACTGTTGGTTGAAAATAAATATCCGATAATCACTCATGAAGATGAGGTACTCTAAGCCAGAAAGTATAATGTTTAACTCAGCTATGGAGTTCATTTTTCTAAATTACTTCCATGTGTTATTTAAGGACCCTGTTAAGTTAGTTTTCAATCCTGAGCAGTTTTCAAATGGGGTTCCACAAATACTTCCCTAAATACTTAAACTTAAAATTAAATTCCTTATCAAAATTCTAAGCATATAACACTCTTACAGGATGCCAAATAGAAGACTCTTTCTCACAGAACCTGTTGCTCGGATCCCCTTCATTTGTGGAATATTGACCAGGACCATAAAGGATCTTAGTTCTTGCAGGATGTTGCAGAACCATGTGCAGGCTTTCCCCCAGCACTGCAGTGTGTTCTGCCTCAGGTTGTATAACTTGTCTATGCACAGTTAAAGAGTTGCATTTTCTTCTGAAACAGCTCCCTTGTGGGGAGGACACAAGGGAGGACTGAACAGTAATTGCAGAATTTCACTCGGTTCAGAGGGAAGTGCTTTCTGAGTGACGTAGACGTTACAGCTGGAAGGGACCACAGCAGCTCCCAGAGAGACATTGAGCAAAACCACAATTAAAAAGGCGTGCTGGAAATGAAACAGTTATTTTTTTAAAGTGCAGGTTCTGCACCGAAAGAAACCAGAACGCTAGTGTGGGAGAATCGCATTGAGATACTGGTTGTGTTTATGCTAAATAAGGAATCGAACGGACCTTTGGATGTTGCTGGCAGGTCTGGCCTATTCATTTCCAGACCAAAGGAAAGAGGAGTCCCGCTCCTGGGTTCACAGTCATCCTGGCCCAGAGATGAATCTTAAATACCGCAGGATTTGCTTTTGGTGTTTTCATGATTTGTGTTGAACATGGCCGCAAGTCGAAATTTTTAGTGCAGGTTATTATTGTGATAATGTTATTAATCCTTGCCTGCTCAGGTTGTGCAAATGGGCACATTAAATGTTAGATTATTGTATATTTGCATATAACCCAATCATGGAACTGGTTTACTGTTTTTTTTGTGTTTTTTTTCTGCACCCTTAAGGAACATTAGTGGACTGAACCTTCATGTGCAGCTCAGCTGAAGGTTATTGGCTCAGTGCATACAGTGTGTCATACGAAAATACAGGACGTCTGTAAAAGAAGTCAATCTGAAAGCTGAGGCTCTATTGGAAAAAGACGATGTTGTTCGTGATTTGAATGTTGTCTAATTGGGAAGTAAGATTACAAATGAAAATAAATTAAGAGGCATTCGTGAGGTCGACAATAAAGAAAAAGCATTGCAGAATTATTTCCTTCTTGCACTACTTCACCTTAACTAAAGGTGCAGCTCCAGCCAGAGTGGTCAGGGATGGCGCACAAGGACATTACCACAGTTATGATCGAGAGGAGCCACTCGGCCCATCTGACCCATTTGGTAGAGTCAGTCGTTAATTGATCCAATGGTCTCATCCAGACGGCTTCAACTGCATGGCTAGGTAGCTTGTTCCACTCTCCCGCAACGCTTTGTGTGAAGTATCTCCTGGGCTCAGCTGGAAGACAATCCAGGGGACACAGGAGTGCTGCAGGAGCAGACTGAGAGCCAGTGGCCTGGGCGATCACTGCGCCATGCTGCAGGACGTCCCAGACTGGCCAGCAGGAGTGTTCTGTGTTTAACTGGTGCTGCTTTCTGCATGTCTCCTGACTGACACTGTGCGTTTCCCCTTCCAGACTGTGGAGTGAGCAGCGGCAGTGCGCCTGGCGCGGACTCGTGGGTGTGGCTCCTGTCTTTCCAGGTCAGCTCCGGAGTGAGGCAAGATCAGTTTCCATATCCGGTTAAACATCACACATAGCGCTTCAAATTCACAAAATAAAAACCAGTTTCTAGGATCATTCTGTATTACTTTATTTAGGATGTTTGATTTCATGTTAATAAAAATGGATTCAAATCTTACTGGATTTTCTAAAACAGTAACTTAATGCATTGTACTAAGTAGATTGGTTTAACAAACATGGAGGCTACAGCTTTAAGGATCCAGAGGATCATTAAAGCAGGAATGCAGGATAGCAAGTAAAAAAGTGTGGCACAGGATTGCATTGAATTCGAGTGCTTGTGATGTGATCTGGTCTGCTGCTGCTGGTGGTGTCATGTACAGCAGTGCTGGGCACCGGGTTCGAAGGCAGAGATCTTGCCCAGAGGATCTGTGCTGAGGGAGAGGAGTGAGGCATGTAGCCATAAGCCTAGAGGAGGTATAGAGGGAGGAGAAGGGAAGGGGCTTGAAGATGGAGAGAGCAGTAGGCAAGGATGAGGGACGTTAGCTGGACAATGTGTTTAACATTATGTTGAAGACCTTGTTTTGCTTACTGTTACTGTATCGCTGGTGACTGTAATGTACAACCAATTTCTTTGTTTTGTTTGCATATGCAAGTCAGGGTTGACTACATGCAGAAGTGCTTGTAAACTTTCTACAGCTAGAGCTGCAGATACTGGGGCTCAGCTCTCCTGGCAGAGCCTGACTCGGCCCTTGTCTGCCAAACTCACGGTTACTGTGCTGTATCATCAGCTCTCCATTGTGTTTATTGTATTATTGTATTATTCAAGACAAAGCATTTCTTTACAGTCAACATTTCTCTACAGTCTTTTTGTTATAGGAATTGTATTAATGATTATAAGAAAAGTGCTGTGCTCTAAATTACTACTGAACTGCAGGTTATAGGCAAATGCTATGTGTGTTTATATGATGATTCTTTTAAGTGACAAGCCACTTAATTCTGGTCTTAGGAACTCTTTACAGTAATAGGCACATGCAGACTATATTTACATCTTTCAGAAGGCTTTTGATGAAGTTCCTCAAAGGTCAATTCTTGAATTGCAGGCAGCAGACATTTAAGTTGTTGGATGAATTTGGTTAGATCAGTGGATAAAAGACAATCTGTGGAATACTCAAACTGGGGAGCTATAGTTAGTAGATTACCAACAAGAATCTACTGTATATTAGGCCCTCTGCTCTCCCTAATTTATGTCAGTGATCTGCACTCTGGTGTCATTGGCAATGTAGTGATCTTTCAGATCTTTCAATTTACCAAAATTGGAGGATTAGAAAACATGCTGTAAATTTAAAAGGGAATTTAAAAAATATTTAGACGAAATTCAAGACTGGAAAAGATTCTGGCAAATAAGGTTTAATTTAAAGAATACATATTCCTTCCAAATGCTTTCAAAGGATTTCAAAGCATCCCCCCTACAGAAGATGCCCCTCTCCCCCGAACGTGGCGCTAGCTACACAGTGGATCAGCTGGGGGCCGGAGGGGTGTAGACATCAGCTCAGTGTTACATGAAGGTCCCAAGACTAACTCTTCTTCTTCTTTTTCACAGCCTTAGTCCCAGACTGTCCTGGGGTCAGCTGCTTTGGTTTCTCTTCTCCACTTGTCTCTGTCGAGCACATCTTCCTCACTCACTTCACATACCTCCATATCTTTTCTCACACAATCTATCCATCTCTTTCTAGGCCTGCCTCTTCCTCTGTTACCTTCCACCTCAGATCCCATTACCCTCTTTGTTACTTCCTCAACGTCCCTCCTCATGATATGTCCATACCACCGTAACCTCGCCTCTCGCATCTTCTCAACCACATCCACCACCCTACATCGTCTACGGATTTCTTCATTTCTGATCTTATCCTTCATTGAAATCTGCAGAATCCATCTTGCCAAGTTCCTGATCTTTCTTTGGCATCATCCCTGATACAGCTGTAGGAAGTATATTACTCTAATGGTGTTTTCCAGAAGGAGTTAAAAAGACAACTACCAGGGTGAATCCTGAAACTGAAGACCAGCTGCCAAAAATTATAATGAGTTATTAACATTCTGTGAACAAAAAATAGGGAAACTGATGCACCTACTACAGTTAGAGGATTGGAATTTCTCTTAACCATGTTATCAGGTTTCCTTGATTGATTTTAAACAAATGTATACCTTTTTGTAATTAAAATTGCCGTTATTTCCACTTTGTTACATCTGAATAATGTGACATCTAATACAGTATGTACAGTAAACATGACGCAATCACCCTTTTAACAACTCTTAATACAAGCAGAAACGTGCAGCTCTCTTTCTGATGTCTGTTCAGATAGTGTTCTGCACACACTGGCTGCATCGTTCACACACAGCTATGTGCTGAAACACAAAGGCACAGCAGATGGAGGGTCCTGACCTCCTGTGCTACCTGTCTTGTCACAAGGACTCTGTCGTTAGAGCTCTGCAGTGGTGCAGTGTCAGAACGTCCTAGTCCATGGACAAGTGGGGCGTCCTCTGGTCCTGGAGAACGAAACCTTGCCTGAAATTTTCCGAGGTAAAAATAACAAATGAGTGCTCAAACTTAAGTGGTACAAGAGGATTGAAAGGAGACGTGCTTCTAAGCGCACAAAAAAACGACTGTGAGGCAGATGGCAAAGACTGTAGAAGTGCTTAATGAGTTGGAGAAGAATCATGCAGAGCTCCAGGGCTTCCCCTCACAGTGAGAGGGACAGATGTTCTGCTGAGTGCTTTAGGCACACAGAAGCAGAGGAAGTTGTCGTACATGCGAGTTGTTTTAGGACCATTAATGTACTTCAGATAACAATGGAAGGTAGTACCTGCGGAGGCAGCATAATGAATGACCCCCCCCCCCATCGATTAATATCGAAACAGAGGACAAACACTAACCTCAACTGACCCGAATGAGGTCATGTACTGGAACTGGTTTTATGGAGTTGTTTTGAATTTCGGCAGCCTATTTCTCTGCAGCCCAGGTGCCGTGAGCGTCGTGCTCATTCCCACTAGAAGGGAGGTGGCGCCTGGCGCAGGCCCACGCCGCTGGCTCAGGGACGTCCTGAGGGCCTGGTGGTGGCGCTGCTGTGTGCTCTTGTACTGGGGGGCTTTCCTGAGGGTCCGGGGGTAACAGCATCCCGGAGGATGACAACACCCACTTCAAATTGTATGTGGAGTCATGTATTTAAACAGCAGTAAAAGACTGAAGGGAAGGAAGCAAACACCTGCATACAGACATTCATGAAGCCATGCGGTCTAACCCCATTGCCAGCATACAAAGTTTTGAGAGGATAAACTGCAGTCACCCACCTCTCCAGTTGTTCATGTAGTGATTTACTCCAAGTAAGACAAAAAGCACATCTCCTTTTATAGTCTTAAGTACAAAATAAAAATACATAAATATTAGTAGTAGCATTTGAAAAGAAGAAACCAGTTATGCAGTAAATTAAATTAAGTATACACAGTGATAAAGCTTTTTCAAAGTTTGGTTTCAGGTAACAGGGTATGCTTGGTAATGTCTCAGCAGGGAATGGAAAAGGACAGAGGACAGCAGTATTCTAACCTTGTAAAACCATATGGAGTGTAGATGTCTGAGTACAGACTGGACACCTTGTTTTAGATGTTTACAGGCTGAAGTTTGGCGCTAGATGACTGACCCAGATGCACCCTTTCAGTCTGTCTGCAGCAGCAGCCTCCGCGTTGTGCCAGGCAGGAACTTGGCAGTTAGTCCTGTGGAGCTTGACACCCTGCAGCAGTAGCCTACAAAATAAGCACACATGAGACACAAGCAGTTAGATGTGCCGCAGAAGATACAAGGTCATTAACAAACGGAGTTGACACAGACGCTAATTAAATAAAAGCCTTTCTGAAAGGAAAAGCTCTCTGATATCCTTAGGGAAAGACTTCCGGAGCCTGGGGTGCAGCAGGTGAATGCCCTGTCACACATAGAATGTAAACAAGCTTGGGGGATATGTAGAAGACCAGAGTCAGATTTGTGAGACGAGGAATAGAGAGATTCTAAGTCAGATCGGTACTGAGGTGCCCAGCCATGTAGCACCTTATAGCGGAGGATTTTGAAGTCAACACAAGCTGATAGCAAGCCAGTGCAAGGACTGCAAGACTGGAGTAATGTGATCACTTGCACGCGACCTGGTCAGGATTCTGGCTGCAGAATGTAGTGGAATTTGTTCGGTGTGGATTTAGACACTCCTGCGAACAGGGCATGGCAGTAATCGGTTTTAGAAAAGACGAATGTGGTGATCTGCTTTTTTGGCAGTGAAAGACTACATCTTAGTCTGTTAATATTTCTGAGACAGAAAAATTATGTTTTTACAGTATTCTGCACATGAGGGTCAAAATCAGTTATCACCCAGAAGTTCTTCAGTTTTGATTGAATGTATTTTAATTTAGTTACAAAATGTTTTATTTCAGTCAATAAATATCTGTTCAGGGAATCATACGTGGAATTACACAAAGTGTCCTTGGGCCTTGACTGATTATAAAGCCCTCAGCGGCCTGCACAGGTGGACTTACCCGGCCTGTTCCACCCCTCTTCGGGTGTCTCTCTCCGAACGTAGTGCATCGCAGACACCTGCAAGTCAGCTTACTGGACTCCCTGTTGACCGGGACAGGAAAGAATTACTTAGGCCATCCGATGTTAATTGAATTGGATAAAAAGTGACCTTTACCGCCTGGATAGCAGAGGAAGTGATTGTGAAGGGGGCTCTGAGTTTTTTCTAGCTGCTGCACGAGAGCTGAATGCTCCTGAGACACACAGTGCAGCTCTGTGTGATTCTTGGGCAGCGGACTGTGAGGAGCAGAGATGCTTGATAGCTGTGTGCTACACCTCTCTTGACCAGTTCAGTGCTGGACAGGGTCCCTCATAACACTCTAGCAGTTCACAAGTGCAGTAAACTAATTGCTCAGCGAATCGGGGCTATTCTTGAACAAACAGCATTAGAAATCTCTCAGAATCAAAATTTGTTTCGAAGACGGGCAGTAAGG